GATTCAGTAGAGTGTAAGTTCCTTCAGGACAGGGACTATCTCACTTTCATACTTGTATTCCCAGGGCCTAGCTTAGTGCCTAGCATTAAGGCTGATGGACTACAATTCAGCTACAATTCAGGTATGATGCCTGTCTCTAGGGATTCCCAATCAAATCAGGAGTCAGTTGTGATAGCCTTCACAGAGCATATTCTGTCCTCCAAGAGCTTCTCATAGTTAAAGAAGGATTTATGTGGAATGGATATGGGTTGTGAGGTCAGAAACTGAACTTTTTGCTTTATGCTGCTCATGGGGACAGAGCTTTTACCCTGTGTGGTGGCTCACTGCTCTGCAAAGACTCAACAGGCTTTAGGGTCAAAAAGGACTGTGGGGGAAAGGGATGTGTCTTGCCCTCCCTTCCCCACCCACCTTCTCTATCTTCATCCTCCAGCAAATAAAGCTGGTCAAACTCTTCTCTGTAGAACCAAAGGACAGGGGAATTATCCAGCCCTAGAGGAAACACACTTAGCTTGCAAAAAAAAACCTCTTCAGGGCTGACAAAGGAAAGGAAACTGAGATGAAAGATTGAGGAAATGTCTGTGTATATAGGGCAGCTCTCCACTGCTGGGCCCACTCTCCTGGGTTTTGATTTGTTTTGTTTTTGTTCCTCTACTCCTCTCTCCCACCCCCTCCTATCCATTAGGGAATGGAAGAATATATGTCTATTCAGAAACTACTTGCACTCCTATTCTTAATTGGATAAGCAGCATTTCAATTAAAAAAAATTGTTGGAGCCTTCTCCTTAACATGTTCTCAGTCAAGCCTTACTTGTGCTCTTGATCACTCTTTCTGTGTCCACTCAATCTCTGCTTTGAGTTGATGTTTGAGTCTACCTTTTACCCTCAGATTGGACACCAGGCTGAGAGTTGTCAGTGGGGTCAGGGAAAGTATTAGAAGTCAGAGTACTGGGATGAAGTTTCTGAGAGGCAAGTTTCTGTTCTATGTAAGGAACAGTTTCCCTAAGAATCAAGACTTTCCCAAGGTGGAATGGGTTGCCTGGGTAGGTAGGGATTTCCTTCTCACAGCAAGTCTTTAGGCAAAGCTTGCATGACCATATGTCAGTGATATTGCAAGGGATTCTTGACCAGATATGGGTTGGACTAGCTGACCTCAGAGACACCTTCCAACTTTGAGATTCTGTGATTCTGAAATGGAAACAAGCTGGAATGCTCTTCAATGTAAACAAATAACAATAAAACCTTCTACTATTAAAAACAAAAACACACACTGAAAAAGAGTCATGGTAATGGAGTCCAAAACCTTTCCTACCAACATGGAAAATGCATCAGAATTTTCCCTTTGCATAACAATCTCCCATTATAATCTATTAACAATTCAAGTCTTTCTTATTCTGCACAACCCTCTCAACTTACTCCTCTGGGTGAAAACAGCTCGCAAATAGGGACACCAGCTGCAGGCCAACTTCTCAAGAAAACAAGTTCCATCTTTCTTTTCCTTCCCCGCCCCTTCTCTTTTTCTCCTGTCCCCTCCCTTCCTTTCCCCTTCCTTCTTTCTGTAGCCCAAGGATCAAAGCTCATTTACATAACACTCTCCTCATTGGTTTAGACTGATTACTCTTCAGGGCCCTCTTCCTGAAGAGAATCTGGAACCATATGTCTTCTCTCTTGAACGTGGAAGCCAGAAAACAAGCCTCTCTCTTCTCCTGAGCTCTCACCAACTCACACAGGCATGGAGTATTGAATAATCATTATCAATGAGGAAAGACTCAGGCAAATGAGCTTGGAACCTCAGGTTTTCTTTCCCTCATTCATTCCTTTTCTTCTTCCCTTTCTCCCTCCTTCCCTCCCTCCCCTCCTTCCTTTTTTTCCTCCCACCGTCCCTCCTTTCCTTCCTTCCTTCCTCTCCTGACTCTGTGCCTTTTTCATCAGCTGTTCCTCATACCTGCAATGGGGTCCCTCCTCACTTCTGCCTCCTGGCTTCTCTGGCTTCTTTCAAGACTCAGATCAAATCCCACCTTCTGCAGGAGGCCTTTCCTGTAACCCACCTTCCCTCCATTGCCAGTGCCTTCCTTCTGAGATGACTTTCCATTTGCACTGTATATATTTTTACATACTTTTTTGTGCATGTTGTCTCTCCCATTAAAATATGAGCTCTTTGAGGGCATGGTCTAAGTTTTTGGTGTATTTGTATCTCCAGTGCTTAGCACAGTGCCTGGCATATAGTAGTTCTTAATAAATGCTTGCTGACATTCTTCTTTCCTTCTTTCCCATTCCTCCTCCTCCTCCTTTATCTGTCTCTTTTCTTTCCCTTCCTCTCCCTCTTTCTCCTTCCCTCCCTTTCTCTTTCTCTCTCTCTGAAAATTATAGCCTGAATATACAAAATATGGGTGGTGAATTAAACATAAAATGTTTATCATTTCAACTAGGAAGAAAGAAGCAGAGAGAAAATAGAAATGAGGATTGTAGAAATCTTGGATAAATATCTTTAGGGATATCTATAAACTGAATTGACTCAGACATCACAGTCTGGACTTATAGGTTTGACATCTATTAATATACTTAAAGGTAACTTCCATGGTTGCATTTTTTTAATGGGATGAAATCAGTGAGTTGAGTAGTAACATCTAGCACCCACAGATATGATGGTATGAATTTAGTTCAAAATTAATTATAATTTCACAAACATATTTTCTTTGATAATGTGAAGGCACGTAATCTTATTTCATCAGACACTCACAGTGCAACTAATAATAGGAGTCCTAATGAAAGGCTACCTTCTTCTAATATGTTTTTCTTTTGGGAATTTTGAGTTTGCCATCATTTGGGGACTGATGAGAAGTGGGCTATTGCCCCTGTGTTTAAGATCATAACTGGTTATATCAAAAGTGACCGCTGCTTACAAAGACAACTCCATATCTAGTCTTTGATATTACTGAGGGATGAGGACAGATTGGGAGTTGATAGTGATTTGGGTATGTTTGTCCACCTGTTTGGCATAACTATAACTGAAAATGACTAAACAACTCTCTCTCTTCTCTCTCCACACACACACACACACACACACACACACACTCAGTAGAAAGATATATATATATATATAATATACACATATTATATATAAGTATATCTTTTATTGAGTTAGTCCCTATCTAACTGAATAGGATCAAGGAATCTAGTAATGAATAGACATTACAAATTCAGATCTAGAGAACAGTGGAATTCCTAGAGAACTTGTAACTCTTGCTATGCACCAGGTTATCTGTCCAATGGCAGCTCATTCACTATGTGGTTACCTCTGGGCATTTTTTCAACAATTTTGACTCTTGTCTCACAGGTTATGGTTGGAGTGAATTATAAGTCTTGGCTTCAGAATATAATGTTTTTCAACTGTCTATCAAAAATATCAGAAGCAGATGCTGGATATTCCAGCAAATCTATCTTCCTACTCTTCTCTTTAGGCTGGGAAAAGATGGAAAGTTTTTAAATTAGCAAAGGAATACTTTCAGATGCTAAAAGGGAGAGGGAGCAAAGCCTGCACAGTTGTAGCTTGATTGCTGCTGACACCCCCAATCCTTTCTTGTCCCCCAACACTCCAAATGCTCTCTTACCCCCAGTTTAGCCATTCATAGTAAGAGGTCAGTACCTTTTCACACTTGGGAAATCTCATTCAAGTTTTTTTTGTCAATGGGCAAGTCATGAGCAGCTTTTCCAATTTAGGGATGGTTGACGTCACCAAAGAGGCGATAAATATCTGTTGATATAATTGGATGTGAGATTCTGTGTTGTGATAGCAAAACTTTGCCCATTGCTGTTCGGAAGGACCCCATGATTTATTCAGGAGCAGATCGAGCACGCAATCTAGCTGTCAAGAAAGCGTCAGCTTATTAGGCAAGTACTGCGTGATTCCATAAGAGGGTCTAAGCTATAAAAATCCCGCAACCAAGCTCTGATTAGAAGAAAATCTGATCCCAAGTCCGGGAAGAGACGACTCAGAGCCACAGAAGGAGCACCTGAAAAGCTTCAGTCTCCTCCCTCTCGGAGCTGAGAGGCGTCAGCTACTCCGCTCATTTGCAGAAGCGACTCTGAAGGTAGGGAGAAACCTTATACACGGCTTCAGACTCACTGAAAACTTTTCCCTGCTTTAGGTGGGTTAGCGTGCTTGGTGAGCCCTACTTTGACCGAAATGTGTCTTTGTGTGTGCTTGTATTTACGTAGGTTATGTCTCTAAGTATATCTATATATTTCTGGTAAGTGTCTGCTATTTGACAAAGAATACCACCCTCAAAGCAACAACCACAAACCAAACGGGTGTTTTTCATCATCAAAATATCCCAAATGCTTTTCACTCACTTTTCAGAAAAGGAACCCTTGGTTGAGGGCGGGAGGACGGGGGCAGAAACCAAGTTGGAAAAGAGGAGAAGGAAGAGTGAGAGCCTGAGGCTACTTATCTACATAGTTTTAGCAAAAAGTTTCCTCTTTACATTACATCCTGAAAAAGCAGAGCACGTAACGTCTCTTTGGTGGCGCTCAGCCCAGCAGTTGGGCTCAGAGGCTACAGTCTTGGGGGTTATACAGTGGGCAAAAACACTCTGGGGCCGCAACTTCGGGCGTCTGGCAGAGAAAAGAAACAATTCAGCGGGCTTGGAGCCTGCTGCAGTCCCGGTGCCTTTGATGCTACCAAAGCTTCAGTACCGAGGACAGCGCCCATAGCAAGCCTAGAGACGCCCATTCCCAGCTTCTGTCTAAGGCTGTTGCATGGCACGGCGCTGAGTTGTGCTGTGTTGTGTTAGTGTGTTATGTGTAAGTGTGTAGAAAATCACAGAGACAGAGATGGAATTCCTTCTCTCAGTTCAGTTAAACTTCATACCTTGTCTGTTTCTTTCTTGCCTTTCCTTTTTTCTTTTTCCCCCCTCGCTCTCCTCTCTCCTTCTTTCCCTCTCTTTTCGTTCCTTTCTTCCCTCCTATCCCTTATCCTTTGTGTTGCAGATCAGCGCCCCGACCATGAAGCTCCAGCTTCTTGTGTCTATCGGGATCCTGCTAGTTACGCTCTTGCCCTGCCAAGAATGCAGAGCTCTCATCAGCAAGGGATCCGCGTCGACCATGGGGTCCGCAGCTCAACCCCTGGACTTCTTCCAGCCGCCTCCACCGCCTCCGAATCAGCAGCAGCCCCTGCCTCTCCTGCTCCGCATGGGAGAAGAATACTTCCTGCGCCTGGGCAACCTCAACAAGAGCCCCGCTGCTTCCTTCTCCTCCCTGTCCTCATCCTCCCCCTCCTCCCCTGGCATCAACCCTGGTAGCCACTTCTCCCCTGAGGTCTCCGTCTCCAACTTTTTCCGGGGGGCCGTCCAGCGGCTCCAGCACCTGCAACTCCCACAGCGTTCCCTGGACAGCCAGGCAGGTCTAGGGGAGGGAGGAGCTGAGAGTACCTACAGCGAGCAGCGGGAGGCGATGGAGAGGGAGAAGCGGTCGGAAGAACCTCCCATCTCCCTGGATCTGACTTTCCACCTCCTCCGAGAAGTCTTAGAAATGGCCCGGGCCGAACAGTTAGCCCAGCAAGCTCACAGCAACAGGAAATTGATGGAGATTATTGGAAAGTGAGACATCCCGTTTTGCCAAAGAGATTTTGCATTTAGCACAAAAAGGAAAAAAAAAATACAGTATTCTGTACCATAGTGCTGCTCTGATATCATTTGTTTATTTTTATATAGCTTGACACATAGAGGATGTACACTGAGAGAGCCTATATCCCTTAATTAGCATGCACGAAGTGTATTTAAGTGCAGTAACAAGAAAATTGTCCTTTGTAATTTTATTTTCCATCTCCAAGTTATTCTAGTGGTGTGGTTAGCACAGGTGTAGACCTTTGAAGAAACGTTTTGAAGGAGCAGAGGAAAGTAAGCTTGTTAAGCTTGTGTTCTAAAGTCAAGGAGAGAGCTTTTCTCCCTGGACTCAGGGTAATTGGGTGGGGAAACCATGTAAGTTCTTCTGAATCATTTTTTTTTCTTGTAAACATTGTCATAATAAAACATCTTTCCAGCCCTCAGTCGATTTGGTTGTGTAAAAGAATGTTGAATATTTATATTTTTAATAAAAGCTGCAAAGGTCATGATGGGTTCATCTACATTTTCTCTTGTTTTGTTTTTACACATGAAGAAAAGAGTTTCTCCTTTTCTCCCCACCCTATTCCCTTTATCACAAAGAAAACAAGAAGAAAAGTGTTCCAGAGTTTTCATTTCTACACAAACTACATATGCTAGTAGAGGCTTAATAACAGCTTCTACGATGATGCAGAGGCCACTGCCTAGCATTATGACCTTAGGATGAGTGTACGGTCCTCAGTTTCCTTAGGTTTTGAAGGTGCTTTCTAGCTCTGACATCCATGGTTCTATGAAATGCAGCTGAGATGAAAAACTGGTTCATAATGACAATGCTTTTAAAACCTACCACCTATTATATTTAAGATAGTTTTGTGTGGGGGTGAGAGAGAAAAAGGAGAGTGTGTAGGGGGAGTGAGATGAAGAGACAGGGAAATAAAAAGATGTACATCTCCAAGAATCACTATAAAATAACATGGTTTAATTTAGCAAAACAAAAAAGTGTATTCATTTCTGCTTCATCAAGATTTCTTAGCCTAAAGTGATCTCTTTTTCTAAGGTGTTAACTAAAACCATAGCTATTCCTAGTACTAGAAAACTGGCAGCATGTTGCCACTGAAAGCTATTAAAGAAAGTAATATGTAAATTGGCACTTGTCAAAATTATTTCTGGGTGAAATAGTTTATGTAAGGACTTTAGCTTCTAAAACTCCACAAATATTCTCCATTCTCATAAATATCCCAAGTCTAATCATCCTAGTTCACAGGTATATAAACTACTTCTTTCCATCCCTTAAATAGAATATTTCCAAAGAATTCAGTTTCACAATTAATCTGCATAGGTACATTTCATAATTTAATTACAGTAACAACAACAATAAAAAGATCAACTTGTTAATGGTTCAAAGCTAATTTTTGTTTACATGAAGAAGCATCTTCTCCTTTTCCTTGTAAATACATTTGCTTAATGACTTCATCAAACAAACTGAGGGGATACAGCAAAGAATGAGCCATTGTCAGACTATAAGTTTAAAAAATTCACATTTATTTAGTAGTTCATACATAGTAGGAATTACAGCTATTCTCCAAAGGAGTCATTTATGGTGTGTCAAACAAAATGTGACTTGAAAAGTATGTTTAAATCCATGCAGCATTTATGCAATATACTACCTTGATTCCTAAGTAGTTATGTAAGAAAGCAGACAGTTTCTTCTGAAAGGTCTCCCTTACCTAAGGAATAGATTATCTTAATACCTAAACCTAAGACTGGAATAATGCTGAAAGAGGTATACTAGCCCCTGATATATATCTTAACCCTATAGTCATTTGGGTTATAAAAAAACATCCCTAATTCAACAGACATTTTGCAAGTATAAGGAAGCAGAAGTATTTAGCACTACAAAAAAAAAGTGGTTTTTTTTAATGTTTTTTTTTTAAACACTTCATAGCTTTGGTCAATGATGTTCGCCTCTTGGAAATAAATTGCTAAATGAACCACTTGTAAATTTAAACACAAAATACATGTTCATTGACCAATGACATTAGAAAGAAAAAGGTATATACCACCTATTATGATCATAACAAAACAACAGGTTTTGCTTTTTTTTTTAGCATTTTACCACTAAGGGTTTTTGTTACACACACACACACACAAACAAACACACACACACTTACAAACACATACATGCACACCTTTATAAAATGTCCTTATACAGCATTTTAACAAGATCATCTCATTTTTCTCCTTGTGGCTGCAAGTTCCCCAAAGTACTCTCCCCACCCCCTCTAAGTGTTAGGTAACTAACATGGAATCAAAGCTTTTTGCAGAAAAATCATTCAGAGGTCCCATTCATTCAGTACTTCATATTCATTTCATCTAGGTCACCTGTTGCCTCTGTTTGTCCCTTAGCCAAGCAGGCAGAGAGGTAGCTGCTGGAATGAACATCATTCACTCAAAGAGTTTAACCAGGAAAAAGAGAAGATATGGCGGGCTGGTTCATTCTCAGCTCCATCACTGCTCCCTGAAGCACCTTCCACTTGTCCCTGGGGAGCAGAGGAGTCAGTCCTGATCTGTAAAAGAAGAAAATCTGTATCAAAGGAAGAGGGAGAAACAGGGTGTATTTGAGTTGGGCCAGTTTTTTTTTTTTTTTAAACAAAGAAGGTTATTTAGAACAAGGGAAAAGGATAGCATCAATAATTATATAGAATGTAACAACAATGCTGGTGACAATAATTGTTGGCATCATAATTAAAAGGACAAAAAGCTATGAGAAACTCAGAAAATAGGCCCAACTGATAGGGGCTGTGAAAGTAAAAGTGTTTATAAGCCAAAGAAGGTTCAGCAGTAACATAGCACTTCACTGCTTGCAGTGAAGGGAATGTCTTGAGCCTTATGAAAGGAGCTCAGGGTGCTTTGTTCTATTTGTTTGTTTGTTTTAGAGAAGAGTCAGTTTTACAGGTCTTACCGATCACATTGGGTTCTTACAGATCACACTGAAATCTACAGTAGGAGTTTAAACTGAGAAAATATAACAGAATTAAGCAGCCTTAGCAAAGATGACCACTCCAAAGTTTCAGTGTTTCGCAGGAGGTGAGTACATACTTCTGTCCATGGTGTTAAAACCAAGAAGTTTCTACCAGGGACTAGAATGTCTTTGGTATTGGCTCTTCCAAAACTTCAGGGTTTGTTTTTAACAAGTCATGGAAGGCATGAATTCTCCTTCCCCTTTGCCCCCAAACAATAAAACTCAATGCAACGAGGATCAGAAGAGTACAACATAATTTAAAAATAACTTGACATTCACAGAGTTTTATTTTCAAGTTCATGATCAATAAAAGCTCACTTGTAGCAATCAAGTATAGTCAAACTCGATGTTGTTTTCTAGGGAACTAGGGTTTTTTACTGAAAATTTTCTTTTGGCTAGGCAATGGGGTTAAGTGACTTGCCCAGAGTCACACAGCTAGTTAAGTGTCAAGTGTCTGAGGTCATATTTGAACTCAGATCCTTCTGACTCCAGGGCTGGTGCACTATCCATTGCACCACTCATCTGCTCTTTATGGAAAATTTTTAAAGGGAGTTTTGCTATTTTTTATAAGATGTTTTTAAAATATCATTGAATATTATGGGAGACTTTTACAAGAAACTTTCATTATATTACAATCGATGATCTCCCTAAATTCAAAAGCCTATTAATGAGCCCAATTCTTCCTATGAGAATCAGGAAAAAAAGGCAGTGAAGGAAAACAGTAATTTAAACTATTATACTCTAGATTGCTTAAAGCTGTCCCAGAATGACATTGTAACCGATGAGGGAAATAAATACATGCGTTCAACAACTGCAAAGCCCCAGCCATGAAGTTGCAACACTCATACATGCAAATTGCCTTTTTGTTGCAGATAGGTCATTACCTTCTCTTAAAATAGTCTGGAATGAGACAGGAGAGTTTGGAATGCTCTTCACTACATGCTCTAGCCTAAATGAGCACTTCTGGGTGGTGCTCAGAGAAAGTTCCACATGTTCAAGAATTTAATAAGTAAGAGTCTTCCTAATAACAAAGCTGTTCATTGATCCCAAGTGAGGAAGGCCCCAGACATCTTTCAGGCCCTAGTAGTCAGCATAGCACTGGAGAGCATTGGCCTTAAAAAGTAGGTTACCAAGTTATTGTGGATTTTCTTTATATATTTGTATGCCTGGATCTACTTCTTAGAACTCACTGTTCAATTAATCTTCTGTTTCTGACAGGCGCATGAATTCAGTACCTGTTTGTAAAGTACAAACCACTTCTTTCTACTCAACCTTTTTAGCATATAAGATCATACACAAGACTTCAAGTTGTAAGGGACCATAAAGTTTACCTGGCCCAACCCCCGTCTTCTGACAAATGAAGAAATGGAAAACCTTGAAAGTTAGGCAATTTGCCCAAAGTCACACAGTTAGTAAATGGCAGGACTGAAATTCAATGCTCTTTCTAAACAATTTGTGACTTTAAAGCAATATATCTATATATGTGTGTGTATACATACATATACACACATGTACATACACATGTAAATATGTATGTATATACATATGTCTTAGGGCAGCTAGGTGGTGCAGTGAATAGAATACCAGGCCTGGAGTCAAGAAGACTCATCTTTCTGAGTTCAAATCTGGCCTCAGACATTTACTAGCTATATGACCCTGAGCAAGTCACCTAACTTTGCTTGCCTCAATTTCCTCATCTATAAAATAAATTGGAGAAGGAAATGGCAAACCACTGATGTTTCTTTACCAAGAAAACCTCAAATGGGGTCACAGAGAGTTGGTGACTCTCTGTAAAATGACTAAACAAAAACAAAATACATACACATACGTATATGTTTTTATATTTAAGATTGTTCAGCAGAATACCTTAAGTGTGCTCAACAGCTTCTATCTGTGTATGTATAAAAACATATGGCATACATACATACATAGGTACATATACATATACATATAGATATGTATAGATGTGTATATGCATGCATGCATGTATGTATATGTATATATAGGTATATGTACATATATGTGAAAAGCAACATGATATAGTGGAAAGATAATTCATCTCCAAGTCTATAAGACCTAAGCTGAAGTCCCACCTGTGACCCAAACTGACTGAGTGACCCTCAGTAATTTACTTAACCTCAGTCCTCTAGGCCAGTGGTGTCAAATTCATATACAAACAGGGCCACTAATCTGTGCAGAAGGGTCCTTGAAAGCAGCGTATTAACTTAGTTTCAAAATGTAATGTTATCTATGTTTTATTGTATTTTTATTTATCTTGTTAAATATTTCCCAAATACATTTTAATGGGTTGGGAGTGTTATGGGGAAAGGGGATGTGGGTGTTTGACACCTCTTCTCTAGGCAACTTTCTAAGACTATAAATTGCAGGAAAGGTGCCGGCCTACATCAGGATGAGGAAATTTCCTCACCTAATAACCATGAAATCACAGAACCAGTCCCTATTCCTAAAGTACTAAGAATAAGCTAGGTGGTGCAGTGGAGAGCATGCTGGACTTGGACTACACAAGTCTTGAGTTCAAATTCTGAGATTGCTAATTGGGTTGTCCTGGGCAAGTTACTAACTTCTTTCTCAATCTCGATTTCCTCATCTGTAAAATAGATTTAATAATAACACCTATCTCACTGGATTGCTGTAAGGATCGAATGATACAATATGTAAAGCACTTTGTCAGCCTTAAAGTACTATCAAAATGCTAGCTATTACAACATGTGTTTATTACTATTACCTCACATAATTTCTCTACTCTACTTTAACATCTTTACCAAAATCACTGAGCTGTCAATCATCTTATTTGTTGTTGTGTCTTGTCTGTTCGTCATGACCCTATTTAGGGTTTTCTGGGCAAAGATTATCATTTCCTTCTCCAGCTCATTTTACAGATTGAGGAAACTGAGGTAATCAGGGTTCAATCACTTGCCCAGGATCACACAGCTAGTAAGTATCTGAGGCCAGATTTGAACTCAGGAAGATGAATCTTCCTGACTCCAGGCCTGGTGCTCTATCCACTGTGCTACCTAGCTGCTCCATTAAGCTTATAGGCAGGACCAAATGATCTAAGTAGATGATTGGTGTGAAATAGTAATTCGACTAGTCTTTTCCGAATGTATACTGAATTCTGTCTGCCACTGTGACAAGGTCAAATTTGTGGCATTTTTTCCTTACAGGAAGCTCTTGACTAGAAAGAATTTCTATGGAAGTTGTTCTGGAAGAACCTTCGTGAGACTATTGGAGGAAAGAACCTCTTGGAGAACCCAGGATGGAAGAGTCTTGGGGGTGGGAGGGGAGGAAGCTACTGCCCTCGAGCTGCTGACACCTCTCTGAACCAGGACACATCTGAGGTGGGAAGAACACTAGACATATAGTCAGGAGACCTGGTGTCTAGTCTTTGCTCTGACCCTAACTGTGTGACCTTAGGTCTGTTACTTTCCTCTCTGAGGCTCAGTTTCCCCATTTGCTGCAAAATGAGAATATGACATTTGATCACTTTTCACTGTTTTTGTGAAGAAAGCACTGTTAAAAAAAATTATCTCTATACTACATGCCAAAACCCTTCTCACATGTTAACATTTTGATGTCCTTAGCCCTTAATAGCTGGCTCTAAAATGTTCATATTTATCATTTCACACATTTAAAGTTCTTGATAATTATTTTTAGTTAGTTCTTTCAGTAACCTGGGAAGAGAGAAAGCTCACGAATCTATCCCATGGAGAAGCAAGTTGAAGTAAGTGACAGAGAGGCCATGCTGGGGCCTACAGTGAAAGGGCTGGAAATTTACCCTGAGTCCACAAGGCTATCTCAGAGCCTCCTTGACCCTACTCAGGAACAAAAGTATAAGTACTGGCTCCACTAAAATGTGTGGGAAACCTTCCTCTGCCTTAATACTTTTAAGTTGCAAAATAAACAGATCCTCAGGACCCCCTTTTCACCACTCAGGGCTCAGCTGGGTGTTATTTCTGCTTAGGCACACTTCATTGCAAGAAAGACAACTTATTAAAATAGTATTTGTTTTGCTTATCTTCCATACAAAGGACTCTATAGCTCAGGGATTCAATCCCCTCAGCCTATTCCCATTGTAATTTGCCTGGTCGTACTGTTTCTCAGTAGAATCCAGGTTTTCTCCAAGATGCAGTGGCATACTGATTTATGGAAGATCATAAAATATTACTTCTTTTTTTCCTTTTTACATTGCAAATCAAGTCAGACACAAGAGTTTTTCTGAAACATCACCAAAATTTATTCTGCCTTTGTTTTATTTTTTTAAATTAAATTCAGTGTTTATGGTGCATCTCTCACATACCAAGAATTGCCCTTTTTTCCTTCCTTTTTTCCTTGTTGGCTATTTGCAAAATGCTTTTAGATTTTCCTAATCCTGTCAAGTTGAGGAGCTGAGCCTATTGCAAACCTCAGGAACATGATTGTTTATTATTTCTGCTACTGAGGGTGCATATTGTTGTAGAGTTTAGTCTGGGAATCAAGGGAAAAATGAACAGTGGGTATCAGTCATTGGTTATTTCTGAATTTTAT